TGGTGCATATGCTCTGACTTTGGGTTATTCCAAGGACAACATAATTTAAGAAAATATGGAGTGGGCAATAAACTACCAGGCCAAACCCCACACAGGGGTCTGGACACTTAGAAACAAGTAATTTGAGATATATAATGAGGATGTTGGACTATCCAGGGGAGTGTTTTCTTTTTTTCAACAACTACTTAGAGAGCTGTAACATCTGAATCTCCCATAAGAAAAAAATAAATTATTTATATATATATATATATATATGTAAATATATGTAAGGATTTCTTGTGTTTTCTCCTACATTATTTTATGGACTGTTTTGCAATTTATCTGTGTTTCTGTATGTTGGGTAAATCTGTATTTTTGTACACAGCACTGTGAATCCTTTTTGTCAGATTAAATGTTTACTTAATCAGCTTGTGTCTCTGTTCTCTATGAGCTCACTCTTCTGAGGAAAGCTCAGGTAAACACGTTACCAAAAGGATTAATTATATATGTCTGATCAGTAAAGTAAGGTTGTGATCCTATAATTCTACTGTGTGTGGGGACACCTGGATATAGAGTCTTGGTGGTGGCAGTAAAGTGTGTACTAGGGTTTTAGTGTAGAAAGGATTGCAGGGGTTAATTTAGTGGTTGCTGGGACTAGCAACAGGTAACCAGGGGTCTGGTGTCATTAACCCTTTCACTTCCAAACTCTCCCCACTGTCTCGGCTGGGCCAATAACCCACATTCGTGACACTTTAAAGTGCACCTCATATTTCAAAGTAATGTTATACTGAGATTTTTTTTCAAACCGTTGTTTGGTAGTGAAGGAGTTTATCGATTTTAAAAATAAAGGGCTGTACGGTATGGCAAAGGAATATGTAGTTGCTGTGTTTAATTCCTTCAGCCAGTGTGTGCGCATGCAGGGCCAATCAAATCGGAGAGGGTGTTATAAAGGCAACAGCATGGTAGCAATGCTGGAAACTAGGTAAGTAACTGCTTGAAGCTGAACTACAAATGAAATATATAGTTTATGTCTATAATAAATTACATATTCATTGCTTAGTTAATGTGAAAATGGCACAGCAGGTACTCTTTAATTCCAACACTATAATACATATTTTCATTCAAATAATTTTCATGGATTTAATTTCTCATAGTTTCTGAGGGACACTGAACTATATATATATAATTGGAAATGACCGCACTCCAAGGACTTGATGATAGTAAAAATAAAATATAACTTTTATTCTATATCATTTAAAAATATTGACGTTTCAGCCCCAATACATGGGCTTTCATCAGGATCCTTGCCGTTCAGTGTTCATTTTTTTTGTATCTTGTGCCTGACCAGCACCGGGCAATTACTCTCTAATCCAGGAGTGAAAGCATATCGTTTTTCATATATATATATATATATATATATATATATATATATATATATATTTTCATTCTATTTTATTTTTTTTCTTAAACATTTTTTGGCAATTGCATGACCATAATTTATTATGAGATTTATTTATAAACTGTTCTGTAATTATATCTGAGAGATTGTGCAGCCTCTGGGCTGGAATACTGGCAGAGCTTGCATTGGCACCTTTTTATTTATCCATCCAGGCCTCCAAAGAGAGTTAAGAAACAATATAATATGTATTATGCAATAATGTGGGGGTAAACGAAAGGATTGTATAAAATAAAATGAATCTGCGTGGAGGTTGTTGAAGTGGAAACTAAATCTGTAATCTAAACAAAAGAGATTAGTTTGTTGTGTTTTATTTATTTGAAATCATTTTGTTAAAGCAATCCTCTATACCCAAGCAATGTTCTATAGCATTTGAAAGCTTGGCTGCGATGCCTATTTTCGTCCAGGTGAATTTTGTCTTCAGATGTTATATAAAACCAGACTTAAAAATGTTTAACTATTTATTTAGAGTCAACCCTCCCCCACCTGTAACATTAAGTTGTGTTCACTACAAAGGTGCCTACAGTGTAGTGATGATTTGTTCACACAGCAAATATTATTTAGTATTATTTTAAAGTATCACTATAGTGTCAGGAAAACAAAGCAGTTTTCCTGACACTATAGTGCCCTAAGGGTGCCCCCATCCTCAGGGTTCCCCTCCCGTGTCGCTGAAGGGGTTAAAACCCCTTCAGCAGCTTACCTTATTCCAGTGCCAGGCTCCCTTGGCGCTGGTGACCTCTCCTCCCACGCTGACGTCAGCTCCCCCGTGCGATGTCAGCGAAGCCGAATGCGCATGCACGGCAAGTGCCGTGAGCGCATTCAACTGTCAACGGGAAAGCATTTTTCAATGCTTTGCGCGATGGAGGCATAATATGCCTCCAGCGTCGCAGATGTGCCTCTAGTGGCTGTCCAGAAGACAGCCCCTAGAGGCTGGCTTAACCCTGCAATGTAAACACATGTTTGCATCTGCAGGGTTAAAACCTGAGGGACCTGGCACCCAGACCACTTCATTGAGCTGAAGTGGTGTGGGTGACTATAGTGTCCCTTTAAGAACATTCTAATACTAAATTACTAAACACCCAAATCAGGTGATCTTCATTCTAGGATGACAAAAGTACAAAAACACGCTACTAGATATTGCTACCTAGTGTTACCCATCAGTGACTAACTGTATTACTGTATTGGTGTAATATAAAGAAAACATTAGTAGATGTTAATTAGTTTATGCTTACACTGATGTATGGACGAATGTGGGAATTGTTAGCAATTCAAAGTGAGTTTCAAATGTTGAGTCACAGTGGCTATACTGAAAAAATAAATAAGTCACCATGTCAATTATTTTCTGTTTTGGCCTTAATTCACTTTGAATTCTTCACAGTTCACATTTTGGTCATTAACCTTGTACAAATACAATAATCATACAAGGTAAAAAGGAATTAATTGTTAAAGGGACACCATAGGTACCCAGACCACTTCATGTCATTGAAGTGATCTGGTTGCAGTGTCCCTGTCCCCTGAACCCTGCAAGTGAATAAGAAAACAAAAAATTGCCGTTTTAGAGAAACTGCACTGTTTTCATTGCGGTGTTAAGATTGCCTCTAGGGGTTGTCTACCACTCGGCAGAGGAGGACTATAGTGTTAGGAATATAGCTTTGTATTCCTAACACTATAGTGTTATTTAAATTTTACCTGATTGAAAGGCAGGCATTGTGTTGATGGCAAGTTTTATCAGGAAATCAAGCAGAAAGCTTAGAGGAACTCCAAGCACCAAAACCATAACAAAACGTTGTTGTGGTTATGAAGCCAGGAGTGCCCTGGTGCCCCCCTTTGTTATTAGTCAAGCGGTTTTAGAATGGTTTAAAGTCCACCATGCACCACTCTGCACCTCCTCTAAACAGCCAAGAGAAATGAAACCTTATCCTCCTTGTGTTGTGATCCCCAAAGTTTACTTTATTTAGGTTCATTACAGAGCCAGTTTTGGCACATTATGATTAAAGGACCAGTTGTGACACCATAACAACTTTACATAACTTTATATAAATTAAGTTGTTATGGTGCCAGAAGGTCCCTGGTGCTGGCTCACCTTTAGGTGTTAATCTGTTCACAAGCAGATTAAAGGACCAGTTGTGACACCATAACAACTTTACATAACTTTATATAAATTAAGTTGTTATGGTGCCAGGAGGTCCCTGGTGCTGGCTCACCTTTAGGTGTTAATCTGTTCACAAGCAGTCAGCTGATGCTCAAAGTCAGTAGTTCCCCATTGATAAAAAGGTGAAGTTGTAATGGTGCCTGAGTGTTCCTTATGGTGAGTATAATAGATGCTTTGTCTAACTCTGTGATTATCTGTTTTTGTTTTCGTTTGTGTGAATGTAGTCTTTTTAGTCTACCTGCTGTTAAGCTGAACATTGATTTGTTTTGTTTTATTTTACCAGTACATGTTGCTAAGTTGGTTTGAGCTGAATAAACTGCTATGCTAACAATCTGAAACACAATGTCATTAATCCTTTTTGATCAGTGTTTTACATTCCTCAGAATACTCTTTGCTGTTATCTTTTGTGCGATTTATACATATCTTCTTTTATATCTTTTAAATTGTAAGCTCCTTTGAGCAGGGCCCTCTTGTTTATCTGAGTAATTTTTTTCTGTTTAGTTGAATTGTATGTTTTGTCTCCCTACTGTGAAACACTGTAGAAAATATTTTGACTTTGATTATAAAGGTTAATACCACATTGCAAAGACGGTTTAATACTATGCATCTCTCTCAGTAAACAAGCTGACACAAACGTTATGATACTACAATACAAATTGTGATGGCAGTTCCCCTGAAGGCAATCTTGGCTTTTGTAATTTCCACTTTAATGATACTTTTTGGCAGGTGAGCTAAATGTTTCGTATACTAAAGTTACTTAAACATTTCCTTTTTTGTCAATTTGATTACTGGCTTAGTCACTATCTTTTTGTGTGATTCCTTTTGTTCCTTAAATAGACAGCCAGTAATTTGGATAAATTAAATATTCCTTACTCTAATCCTAATCCATCCTATTTTTTTTTTTATTTTTTTTTATGATTATGAACATAACAAAAAAAAAAAGTGCAGAAAATAAATATAATATTTTTTATGTCTTTTTTTTGTCCTGGTAGATGCTGACCCTAACAAATAAACAAAAGAAAGGGAAACAAACTGAAAACTGTTACCGTTTTTCACCCATACATGACTGCTTTATCTTTAATGTCCAGCTCTCATATGATCAAACAATGCTGATAATATCTGCTAAGATAACTAAAGGGTTCAGTCATGTATTTTCTCTCTGCTGAGAAAGGCCCACAGTAAATCTAGGAGACCTTTAAAGCCGACATAGCAAAACTGGTCACCAAAAGATAGTTCTGAAGTTCTTTGTCCCCCCAACTCTAGTGTTTCTGCTGCAATTGAGTATTGCTCTGGTGAGCGATTCTTGCACTTAAATAACATTCTGTTCTGACATAATGCTATCATGGAGGGATGTCAAAGCAGGCCAGCATAGGCGTGCGCAACCTATTGCATTAGGGTGTGCACCCTAAAGCACAAACACACGCCGCGTGTATATGCATGTGTGTGTATATATAGATATATATATATATATATTTATATATATCTATATATATATACACACACACACACATACATACATACACTGCTGTGTGTGTCTGTGCTGCATGAGGGTGTTGTTTGTGTGTGTGTTTGTGTAAGGGTGACGTGTGTGTGAGGGTGCTGTTTGTGTGCTGTGAGGGTGTGTGTGTTTTAGGGTCCTGTTAGTGTGCTGTGTGTGTGTTTGTGAGGGTGTTGTTTCTGTGCTGTGTGTGCGAGGGTGCTGTGTGTGCGAGGGTGCTGTGTGTGTGTGTGTGTGAGGGTGCTGTATGTGTGTGCTGTGTGTGCTGTATGTGTGTGAGGGTGCTGTGTGTGTGTTTGTGAGGGTGTTGTTTCTGTGCTGTGTGTGAGAGGGTGCTGTATGTGTGTGGGTGCTGTATGTGTGCATGTGCTGTGTGTGGGTGGGTGCTGTATGTGTGTGGGTGCTGTATGTGTGTGAGGGTGCTGTGTGTGTGTGGATACTGTATGTGTGTGGGTGGGTGCTGTATGTGTGTGCTGTGTGTCTGTGGGTGCTGTATGTATGTGTTTGCTGTGTGTGTGTGGGTGATTGTGGAGGGTGGAGGTGGGGGTACATTACTTAATATCCCCCCTTCCTTCTTACCTTATGTAGGGAGGGGGGATTCTTGTTCCTGCTGCTTTCCCTGGTGGTCCAGTGGAGAGTGAACACTAGCCGCTGTGGGGCTACGCTCCGACCTCGCGAGAGGAACCCGGCAGAGCTGCTGGTTGAGCTCCCCGGGTCCTCTCCTGCCTCCCTCCATGCTGCAGTGGGGAGGGAGGCTGAGCGCAGAGCCGGCACTCTGATAGCGCCGGCTCTGCATGAGCCGTCAGGGGAGATCCTGAGATCCTGAGTTCTCACTCCATAGGCGTGCCGCGGGGATTAGGATGTGCCCAGGCACACCCAGCACACCCCGTGCGCACGCCTATGCAGGCCAGTCTTTTAGGATAGGGGCAGGTAGGAGGAATTACAGCGGATAACCGAGAAGGTATGTATTAAGAGAACATGTTCTAAAGCAATAAACTAGATAATTTATCTCCGTTATAAATGAGTAATTCATTCTATAAGGACAATTATCTGTGGAATTCCATTTTCCCTTACCACAGTAACTATACGACATACGGCATAGTAGGATTCTTTGTCTTTAATTTGTTAACAGATGGTGGCCGTCAGGGACATAAAAAATTGGATTTTCAAACAAGCTTGTTTGAGCAAGGCCCTCAGCACCTTCTATTATTCTACATCTAACTTGTCTCACTACAACTGTTTGTTTGCTAGTCTACCTATTGTACAGCGCCGGGGAATGTGCGGATGCACATTGAATTAATTTTATGATGCAGAAGGCAAAGGTTTATCTTCATCTTTAGAAACTCTTGCTGTGTGCATTTCCTCTTTTTCATATGTGCATTTACACGCTATGCATTTTGACAAGCAGCAATATAGATTAGCAAAAATATTATCCCGGTTTTAGTTGTTCTAAAATCCCATTCAGAGTACTGTATAATCATAGGGATTAAAGAAAGAATAACCATTATGGTGCCAAGATTATAAACATTTACAAAACTTTGTGTGCGGAACATATCCTCTTAATTGCAGTTTATAAAAGTGACAATTTCTGCTATAAGTAACCACGTTCAGCACCTCCCTAGCTGTTAATCAGACCGCTGGGGAGGTTTTCTTCCAGATTACGTTAGCCCACTGCCCAGTTTCTGAAAGTTCACATAGCCCAGATTAGCCCTGTCTGCGACTCCCTGGCTTTCAGCATGGAGAACTTGGGCTGAAATTGGCATGCACTCATGCACGATGGTGACTCAGAATTAGAGGGTTCTCAATGAGAAGCATCTGATTGGTCATTTCTTTGGCACAAATGCTGGGGGGAGGGAAGGGGATGGATTTAAAAAAGGCTGCAGATAACAGATCTGCCACTTTTAAAAGCTATTTTTAGATGTACACCCATGGGTGTAGGAACCCCCACAATTCTTATTCAGTAAACTGGGAGTTGTTTATAACGTTAAATTTTAAGTGTGTGTGTGTGTGTGAAATAATGTAATGTTAAGCATATCAGTGTATCGCATAGCTCCACAGCAATACAACTCACAGTAATGTGCGATGTGCAAGTACATCACAGATCACTTCAGCAATAAAAAGCATAGGAAAGTGCAGTGTGCGAGTGTATCACAAGCTCTACAGCAATATAACGCACAGGAACGTGCAGTTTGTGAGTGTATTACAGATCACCTCATCAATACAATGCACAGGAATGTACAGTGTTAGAGTTTATCTAAGCCAACCCACTGCTTTCCCATAGGAAAGCATTGGGAGACTATTGCGAATGCGTGTCAAAACACTGCGCTGCACCAATCAGCATCTCCTCATAGAGGTGCGTTGCATCAATACATTTCTATGAGGAGTGTTCAGCGTGAATGCCAGTGCTGCATGTTGTGCAACACTGGACTAGGAAGCACCTCTTGTGGCCGTCTGATGAGTTGCCACTACAGGTATTCCTCGGCAGTAATGTAAATACTGCCTTTTTTCTGAAAAGGCAGTGCTTACATTAAAAAGCCTGCAGAGACATGCTATAGACACCAGAACTAATACGTTTAGCTGTTGTGGTTTTGGTGACTATAGTGTCCCTTGAATAAAGAGGGGGAAAAAGAATCTTCAAAAATTTATGAAATAAAATGTCTATCATTATTCTAAAAAAAAATTTTTTTAAACTATGCACATTCCTAGCTTGATTTTTAGCACAACTTCTGACACAAACATTTGTACTTTGCAGATTACTTTTTATATTTTTTAATACATATACAGATTGTGTGATACTGCCCCTCACCCCCTCCAACCAGCACAAATGTATGAAATAAAACAGCTGTATCATTATTCTAAAAATTAAAAAAGCACAACTACGGACACAAATATTTTGTATTTACAGATTACAGTGTGCAGATAGTACTGTACTAATGATATCCCTGGCTGGGTGGGAGCATTCCACGTGCTCAGTATGCTATCCCTGGCTGGGTGGGAGCATTCCACGTGCTCAGTATGATATCCCTGGCTGGGTGGGAGCATTCCTCGTGCTCAGTATGATATCCCTGGCTGGATGGGAGCATTCCATGTTCTCAGTATGATATCCCTGGCTGGATGGGAACATTCCATGTTCTCAGTATGATATCCCTGGCTGGATGGGAGCATTCCACATGCTCAGTATGATATCCCTGGCTGGGTGGGAGCATTCCACGTGCTCAGTATGATATCCCTGGCTGGGTGGGAGCATTCCACGTGCTCAGTATGATATCCCTGGCTGGATGGGAGCATTCCATGTTCTCAGTATGATATCCCTGGCTGGATGGGAGCATTCCATGTTCTCAGTATGATATCCCTGGCTGGGTGGGAGCATTCCACGTGCTCAGTATGATATCCCTGGCTGGGTGGGAGCATTCCACGTGCTCAGTATGATATCCCTGGCTGGGTGGGAGCATTCCACGTGCTCAGTATGATATCCCTGGCTGGATGGGAGCATTCCATGTTCTCAGTATGATATCCCTGGCTGGATGGGAACATTCCATGTTCTCAGTATGATATCCCTGGCTGGATGGGAGCATTCCACGTGCTCAGTATGATATCCCTGGCTGGGTGGGAGCATTCCACGTGCTCAGTAAGATATCCCTGGCTGGATGTGAGTATTTCATGTGCTCAGTATGATATCCCTGACTGAATGGGAGCATTCCATGTGCTCAGTATGATATACCTGACTGGATGGGAGCATTCCATGTGACATCCCTGGCTGGCATTCCATGTGCTCAGTATGATTTCCCTGGCTAGATGTGAGCAATCCATGTGCTCAGTATGATATCCCTGGCTAACCCCTCCATCCACCTGTCCCTCCCGCCCTTCTCCAACTACCCCTCCCTAATCCTCCCCCTTCTCCAACTGCCCCTCCCTAATCCTCCCCCCTCAAACCACCCAGCCCCCTAACCCCTATAAAACAAGTAATATATCTTCTTATACTTACAGTTCTGAAGACACCAGCAGTGCTCTGGGCTCAGGGCTGAAAGTGTTTGAGGCGACGCTCTGCAGTTTTAGGAGACCGGTGCTCGTCCTAGCGTTGGCAGGACTCCGCCTCCGCGTGACCTCATGGAGCGCACGTAGAGAGGGCAGGGGAGGTCTGGAGGAGGAGCAAGAAAGTCCTTCCCTATGCAGCGATGCCACTCGCGTAGGGAAGGATCGGATCAGATCGGGAGGAGGGGGGCAATATTTTTAGCATATTGTGGGCCAGAGGCAACTGGCCCTTTTGCCCCGCGTCAAAGACGGCCCTGACTGGGAGGGATTTCTCATTTACTTGTCCCACCCACATGATTTCCTGGGGGGGATGCGTCCCCTCCATCCAACCCAATTCCTATGCCCGTGTGTACACCCAATGAAAAAATACAGCAATAAATGCATGACTGTTTTTGTTCAGAGTAAATCTACTAAATTATGAAGAAAAAAAAAAGTACGTGTTTTTCATTTGAGCGTTCCTTTAACCACTTAAGGACCAAACTTCTGGAATAAAAGGGAATCATGACATGTCACACATGTCATGTGTCCTTAAGGGGTTAAAGCAGTGGTTCCAAAATAGATTTATGTATTTCCTTTTTCTATACTAATGGAGATACTTACAAAACCTGTGCTGTTTGCAGGGTCATGAGGACTAATTTGGGAAACACTGCTTTTAAGTAATACTGTGGTCATGTGGTAACTGCTATTTGCTGAATGTGCATTTTCCGGCTCTATTATACAGAGCTGTGATCACATCCTCCAATCACAGAGCAAGAGATAGTGTAACAATGGTTATAACAATCACTGATTTGTATGACAGAGTGCGCACTAAAATTATTCACCGATACCCTGACAAATAACAGGTAAGAGATTGGTAGCCAATAGCAAGCCGTGCAATGCAGGGACCAGAGGTAAAACAGGAAGTGCTGGGAGTGGAGCCTTCTTCATAGATACAGTTACCACACAAAATGTGAAAATATTACTACTACTTGACTTCTTTTTTTGTTATGTAACAAAGCTTATCTAGCA